ATAATTCAATGAAATTTGGCACATGATCTTCTATGGTACCGGAGACGAAGCCTGCTGAAAATGGTTAACATCGGTCCATTATTTCACCTAGCCCCCATACAACTGAACGGGACAAATAGGGCTTTTAAATTCATAATTATGTTTAATATATTCGTATCTCGACAAAAAGCTGCAAAACAAGTTCTATGCTAGCATTGATGACCCTCATGAATTTTATAATTGTAGGGTCTCATTTGACCATAGCCCAATTTTATTTAACAATAAATGGCTTAAGTATATCTGAGGCAAGGTACAATTCAACTTAGCCCCCATACAACTGAACGGGACAAATAGGGCTTTTAAGTTCATAATTATGTTTAATATATTCGTATCTCGACAAAAAGCTGCAAAACCATGTTCTATGCTAGCCTTGATGACCCTCATGAATTTTATAATTGTAGGGCCTCATTTGACCATAGCCCAATTTTATTCAACAATAAATATCTGAGGCAAGGTACAATTCAACTTAAATGCTTTATTATGAAAACTAAATCACATTTTTTTTTTGTAACAGGTGTAGGGTATTATATGTCGGCCTCGCCCGACTATAATTTCTTACTTGTTTTCGTCAAGTATTTGATTATAATACTTATAAGGAAACATAAACTACTTTCATGGTGCGTATTAGGGATGCCAATCCCGATTCCGAAAATCCCGTAATTTTTCGGGATTAGTATTCAGAATAAATCCCGGGATTTGTTTCAAAAAGATTTTATTTTCTGTTTTGAGCCATAATTTTCATAAATTTGCAAATTACGATTTAATTTTATTTCTGATTTATGCAAAACAAGATTCACCTCAGCTAGTTTTATACATATTTTAAAGTTTTATTTTTTTTTAAGTGGAATGATTCCATGCATATATAAGTTGATTTATTCATTTCGTTTTTAACACACCGAAATGTTGGTAATAGACCCAAAAAGTATACACATTCTGTGTCGGTAAGTTGGAAACACGAGTTAAAAGACAGATTCTATTAGAGCTGCAAATTTGGACAAAAATTGAGACAAGAAGACCTAATAGGAACTCCTCCGAAAAAAATAGTATCAATACATTACAATATTTTGATGGTGCGTAATTAATTTTGGCACAGTCGAATACAAACTTTATTTTTTAATACAAGAAGATTTTGCATTTCAAACTTTCTACAAATCTGAGTAATACCGGTAAATTTAAATTAGATTGTTCTGAATGTACATTAAATTTTCAATAAATACTAGTTATGTTCCAAAACTAACATATACATATTTATGTAAAATTCCAAATATTTTTCAAAGAAAAATTTCTGAATTGGGCTCTGTTAGTTCGCATGGAACAGTATGAGGTTTTAAATTTACATATTTTTATATATATGCTATTTATTTTTATATAGGAATTATGGTGTTAAAAAATTTCAGAAATTATAAAATTCTGAAAGTTTTTATTTAAAAAGTATAATTATTTAGATTGTTCTAATTTAAATACATCTTCTGTCTGCTAAATTTCAATAAACTTAAACACTTTCTTTACAAACATGATGATTTGAAGATTTTCATATACAAAATAATTAAATTCATGTAATCCCGAAATCCCGAAAAATCCCGGGATATTTCGGGATTTCAAAATCCCGAATCCCGAGATTTGTAAAAGCCAGTTCCGATTGGCATCCCTAGTGTGTATCGAAATGCCGTTTCAATGATTTCAGAAGGTTTAGTATGAGGGGTAAGTAGGTAAACATTAAGCCCATCCTCACAGAAATTGTTAAAATGTTAACAAGTTTTGCATATTTAACTTCAATAACAATGTACAATGGTAAATCGAATACTTCTTGGAGTTCAATTCTATGTAAATTTTTATACCCTACACCACTTTAGTGGGGAGGGACGAATAGCGCTTTTAAGTTCATAATTATGTTTAATGTACTCGTATCTCGACAAAAAGCTGCAAAACCAAGTTCTATACTAGCCTTGATGACTCCCATGAATTCAAAATTTGACTTAAATGTCCACAATTTTATTCAACAATAAATGGGTTAAGTAATCTGAGGCAAGGTACAGTTCAAATTAAATGCTTTATTATGAAAACTAAATCACATTTTATTTTTGTAACTATAATTTCTTACTTGTTATACCCTTCACCTTCGAGAAGGGTATATACAGTGTCTCACATAAGTATTCGAATTTAGGTGTACTTTTAAAGGAAACATAATTTAATAATATTTATTGTTTGTAAAATTAATAATTAAATTTGATATATTGTCTAGAGAGTCTTAAGGTTTAATATCACACTCCTTAAAATTTGGTTAATTTACATTTACTTAAATAAATTTAACTTTTTTTAAAAAAAGTCCATAAAATTACTTCACAAAAGTATACGAATTTTTCCTGTATTTCATATTTGACCATATTTTACGAAACACAAAAATTAGAATCGAATTGTCTTTTTGCTTAAAATTGTTTCAAGGGGTTACTATCAACCGAAAGGATATATTTTTGGCCCACAATTTTGGGGCATTTGTACCATCTTTTCATATAATATCATTAAAATTACGATTTTTGACCATATTTGCAATTTTTTTCTCTTTCCCATTTATTATCTGGATCTTAAGTCCCTTTTCGTATCACTAGGATCGATATTTTCCGACAAAGTTGGCTAGTATATAATAATTCGGCCTCTGAATGACGATAGCTAATTAAACCGTTTCTACGACACATTCGAAATTCGTTTTGATAGTTCATCGCCATATTGTTTTTTATCATTAATTATTTTCTAATTTTTTTGGAATATTAGTGTGTGTGTATGATACAAAAATACGTTTGTTACATTATTTTAACAAATTAAGTTATATATTTTCTATTTATTCACATTTTTTGTGATTTTATTATACCCTTCACCTTCGTGAGAAGGGTATATATAAGTTTGTCATTCCGTTTGTAATTTCTATAATATAATTTTCCGACCCCATAAAGTATATATATTCTGGATCCTTATAGATGCCCGTCTGTCTGTCCGTCTGTATGTTTGTTGAAATCAGTTTTTAGAGGACCCAAGATATCGGCGAGATCCGAATCTTCAAAAATTCTGTTAGACATGCTTTCGGGAAGATCGCTATTTAAAATCAGCAAAATCGGTCCATAAATAACGGAGATATAAGCAAAAATCCGATACAACCTCTGAAAATTTCATAAAAAAGACAATTTTTTTCATGCTTTGATATAAGCAACAACAACAACACTGCTTATTCATTGAGTATTTCGTTTCATATGTTTGGATGGCTGTGTGTTTCATTGCCTTGTGTATATTGTTTTTGTTTCTTAATGCATTCAGTTTCGTATGTTTGGATGTCTGTTGGTTTCATGTATTTTGTTTTTGCTTTTTTTTGAGTATTTCGTTTCGTGTGTTTCATTGCCTTGTGTATATTGTTTTTGTTTTTTAGTGTATTCAGTTTCGTATGTTTGGATGTCTGGTGGTTTAATTGCGTTGTGTATTTTGTTTTTGTTTTTTGTGTATTTCGTTTCGTATGTTTGGATGTCTGTTGGTTTTACTGCCTTGTGTATTTCGGTTTTGTGTGTGTTTATTTTGTTTAGCGTTGTTGTTGTTCGTTTTGCTATTGCTATAATAATGATATAAACGGGAAAATGAAATAAATTACAATTTTATAGAATTGATATTTTGAATACACTGTGGTGAAGTGTATATAAGATTCGACACAGCCGAATATAGCACTCTTACTTGTTTTTTTTACACATTCGCTTACAATACACAGTGGTTCAAATCATCAATTTTTTACAGCGAAATTAATATCAACAAAGTAATGAAACTCTTTAAAGTCTAAGATGGAGTATAGGCATAAATAGGTATATCAGAACAAATTTAAGCGAAAATTAACCATTTGGTGTTTATTAACCCATTGTCTATAGTTAAGATGACTTATATAACACAACCTTTTTCATTTTTGAAGGACTTGTCGGGCTCGCGAAAGTTTTTTAGAACCAATTTCCAGTGTGAGGGTCTTTGCTTCCATGCCTTTAAATACAGTAATTCCTTGCAAATAACAGGATGACAAAAACAGAAGTCTGATAAGGACATCATCCTTTGCGTAGTCCTTTAATCAAATTTGAATATGCTTATAAGGTAGCACCCCAGAAAATATTAAATTACTCAAAACGCGAAGAAATGCGCAATTTCGGGTAAAGTGAAACTAATTCATAACATTTCAGGTTATTCATTTCTCCTTATTTCAGGTTTAACAAACGTTAACATTTTCTTAAAAGCTTTCATGAAGTTAAAATTTTAAAATCAAATTAAATTTTTTGAAGGTTATTTTATATTGTCTTT